TGGGGTATGGGGTCGGCGGAGGACATTATTTGAAAATATGTTTGAAGGGTTTGGTTACTAGATACTTGTTCGAATAGCTGTCACAGTACTGTAAGGGGTTGACTTTTAAATCCCGATTATCGAACTTTCTGCAGATGTATTGTTCCCGAAGATAAATCACAGCAGTTTCAGTTTTTCCTCTCGCGTTTTTACGCTGTTTCAAAAGTTTTTAGAATTATATTATGCAAGTATATATAGTTTAAACGGTAAGTGGTGTCGTCAGAGTCCATTATGTATTGATTGGCCTATTACCTATATTTTTTTTATTCGTTCAAAAATTAATTTTTTTTAGCTTTCGGAAATCAACGTATGTGAGCATGTTGAAGGTGACTCAAGCAAATTTGCTTTGAGGCAAGGAGACATGCCCAACAACGAATTGAGAACTGATCTTAAAGCACCAAGTGAGCAGTGTAAGGTACACTGGGTGAAAAAAATACGCGAACTTATGCAGGGTCTGATGACTGCTGATTTAGGTATTGTTTCATACTTCGATTTCTTTTTACTGTTATATATTTAAGCGCTTACGTTTTACGTGTCTCCTGCATTTTGTAATGTTAAGGTATTTAAAGATTCAGTGGAAATTTTAAATTTTTCGATTATCTTTCCTGCTGCAAATATTTGACTGTGAATGCTCGTTCCTCGTGTGTTAATTTAGATTAACTTGAATGTTCTTTTTGAAAGGATCATTTACTCACGTATTGTAGAAAGACGGCAGCCATTAACTTCACGGCCTCTTCGTTCTCATGCGTCTACTACGTCTAATTCTGATAGGACTTCTAAAGACAGCGAAAGTTTGGGTCGTAATGTAGATGATCGGAATTCTATGAGAAGCTTTGCATCTTCTGACGGCAATTTTGAGGTTTTAGATTTTTTTCAATTTTTCAGCCTGTTTCTTTACCTTATAATAAGGCCACTGGTTCTTAAAAGCTATTTTTACATTTTAAGTTAATTTTCACAAATCTTTTTACAGTTATTATTCGCTAATGTTGTCTTAAAGTAGAATTACTAAATCCTTTACATCAAAGGTGAACCATTACTTTACGGGTTATGCGGCATTAAGAAATGGTAAATTACATATACAGAGCAACTTCTTAACTAACTTTTGTCCAGATACTTTGCGATCTCTTTTTAAGGGATTAGCTTACCC